TTAAAGGCTAAATTTTATGGTATGTGAATTATATCTCATTTTTCAAAGTGAAAAATAAAACAGTTCAATATGGCTGTACAACTCTATGATTATACTAAAAACCATGCAACTGTATAGTTTAAATGGGTGAATTTATGAATTATATCTCAATAAAGCTGTTTTTAAAATGTTATATAAGTAGAATCACATAAGCTTTTGGGATTGACTTTTTCACACTTTTTCACAGCAGTTTCCTGGAGATTTATTCAAGTTGTTATATGTACCCATAGTTTGGTCGTTTTTATTGCTGAGTCCATTTTATGCATGTACCACAGTTTGTTTAACCATTCACATGTTGACAGATATCTGGGTTGCTTCCAGTTTTTTGGCTATTACAAATAATCTATGGACATTAATGTACAGGTTTTTGTGTGAACATAACTTTTCATTTCTGGGATGAATGCCTAAAAGTTCAATAGTTGGGTCAGAAAGCAATTGCATGTTTAGCTTTATAAGAAATTGCCAAAGTATTTCCCAGAGTGGCTGCACCATTTTACATTCCTACCAGAAATGTATGAGTGATGCAGTTTCTCCTCATCTTTGCCAGCATTTGGTGGTGTCACTCTTTTGTATTTTAGATATTCCAATACATGTGTAGTGGTATCTCTTTGTAGCCTTAATTTGCATATCCCTAATTGCTAATATGCTAATATCGAACATATTTTTATGTGCTTATTGCCATCCATATATCCTTTCTGGTAAAGTTTCTGTTCAAGTCTTTTGCCCATTTTCCAATTGGATTGTTTTCTGAGAGTTTAGAGTTCTTTATATATTCTAGACACAAATCCTCTGTTGACAATTTTTACCAACAGGTATATCTCAATTTTTGGAGTGCCTAGATTAGGTAAGTCCTGATTTACCTATTTCTGGTTCATTATGTCCAAATTGTTCAACCACACTATTCAAAATTCAGGTTTCTTTGACATAAAAAATAACGCAAGAGTATTTTAAAATCTTAGACTTTGCAAAGCACTGTTCATATGGTGGAGGTAAAAAACAACAACACTGAAAAGTGCTCTGGAAGACTAACTGACATTAAAAGGAAAATTAAACTAGATCTAGAAATCAATATTATGTGAGTCTGACACTCATGCTAATTTAGGTATTTTTCATGAAACATTATCTTAACAATATCCTACCAATAGGATAATTAAAATGAGATCTTAAAACCTAGTTCATATTGTGCAGGGAAATAGGACCACTACATTGCATAACTCCGGGGGTAATCATTATTTTTATGGTATCTTAGGTGAATGATAACCACTGCAGTGCAGAAAACCCCTGACTTAACTGGTTAAAATAATAATGATAATACTGAAGGATTTTAAATTATTGTGATTATCAGAAGTTGGGGTCTATTTGATAGGCATAGAGTTTAAACTGAACATTTATTGAGGTTCTCCCATGTGAAAAGTACTAAAATAAGGCACTTGGGAGGTGAGGATAGAAAAGTAAATGAAGAATAATTCTCATCTACAAGAAATTGGAAAGTGGGGAGATAGGTATTCAGACTCTGAGCCATTTACCATTTCTATTTCTTCTGTGATAGGAAGGCTGTAATTATTCTGAGAATTGTTTAAGGGTCAAGACTATAGAGCAGCTTTTAATATGCATAGTTTGGGGGGGAAATGGGCATTATTTTAAAAAGAAGATAGGTCTGTGCTGGAAATGGAATTAAAAAACACTTCAAATGATGATGTCAGTGCAACCCTGGAGACTCTGAGGCTGGCCATGAAATGCTCATTGAATTCCAAAGACTCTTCTTTACCCTGGGAAGCTTCATCTAGCTTCCAAACTGTAAGATGCATTTAAAAAAAAACATTTACATATTTTATGATCATTTAGAGAAAAAAAACAAACCCACAATATAGGATTTGTCATTCATATATTGGATGACATCCAGTTTAGCACTGTTCCTTAATCCTGGCACTGGGAATGCCTCCATGCGAGAGAAAAAGAACCATAGTAGAAAACTGGAAAGAAGAAATCAGGGAGGTAGAGAAAAAGGATACTGCCAGTTTCATGAAAGCCAAGGGGGAAAAGTTGTGAAGGTGTGGATCAGGCATGGAGGTGCTGCAGAAACCACCCTAAATATTTCAAACAGAAAATGATTTGACACACAGAATTATGTATGTACAAAATAATGGGAAGTTCTGGGCATGGGAATTGGGCATGGCATTGGATGAATGAGTTCAAGGACACATCGTCATAGATGAGATTCTGAGGTCAGGAAGTCGCTGCTATTGCCATCGAGCCTTTATTGCAGACACACTGCCTCTGAATCTCCACAAAGCTGATCAGTAGGCAGTGAAATGTTTTTTTCTAGCCTGCTCCTTGACCTTGCTTACTAGCAGCAATAGCAGCCGGAAGGTGACCTCTCCTCTATTCTAAATTTCATGGGAACGCATCTCTTTAGTGCAGCCCAATTTCCATATAGCATGGCTCTCAAAGTGTTGTTCCCTACACCAGAAACATTAACATCACCTGGGAACTTGGTATAAATACAAATTCTCAGGCCCCCATGTCAAACTAGAAACTCTAGGGGTAGGCCTAGCAATCGGTTTTTTGTGTTTTTTTTTTAAGATTTTATTGGGGAATCTGGGGGAAGGGGAACAGACAAGTTGCTGTTGTTTTGTACTTCAGTCTAGTTGTGGAGAATGTTGCTTCACTGGCCCAAGCTGGCACCATCATTGCGCTCTTCCTGGGTGAGGCAGATCAGTCACTGGCCTCTGCCGCTCATGCTGGCTGCTGGCTGCTGGCTACACACGGTAGCCCGTGGCAACCCACTGCAGCAGGGACTGCAGCCTACGCCGTCACCAGCGACTCACGGCAGCCCAGCTCCAGGTTGAGCTGTTGTTCAGCATCTTAGCTGTAGAGGGCAGTGTCACTGGCCCTCATGTGGGATCCGAACCAGGGTCCTCTGGCGTCCAAAGCCAGCTCTTAACCAACGCGCCACTCTGCTGGCCCAGCAATTGGTTTTTTAATAAGCCCTTCAGTGATTCTGATGCCTGTAAAAGTTTGAGAACTATTGGCCTAGAAAAGTTCAGTCTACACAGGGAGTCTGGAAAACGGTAGTTTTATTTCTGGTTCTTCGGAACAAGAAGACATCTCAGTGGTAGGAATGGATACCAAATGCAGATGACAATATTCAACAAAAGAGCATGGCCAGTGGTGTTAAATGCTTCAGTGACGTGCAATATGATGACAACTGAAACTAAACTGTTGAATCTGACAAGAAATCATTGATGACTTTTGAGAGAAGAGCTTCCACGGTGAGGCATAAGGGATTAGAGATGGAATGATACACAGTAGAATTACAGTGGATAAAGAATGAGCACAAATACTTACCTCCAGTGTGGTCGGGAAACAAAGAGGAGAAATGGGTTTTAGCTTGAACTCAAATCTTTTACTTCATCTTCACAACCTCGTCTGTGCCCTCTGCCACCCCTGCTTCATTTCAGATAGCTTTAGTTACTTCTACAGCCTATTAGAGAATTTGTGGAGTGCTTTTTGGATGACTTAATTTTAAGTTCCAAGTGAGCACAAACTTCAACTAGTGTACACCTGCAATTTAGTGTATATTTACAATTTAGTGTATATTTATATTTTAATATGTGTCAATACACTATGCTAGGCCCTTGATATATGTTATTTTGATTCTTTATAGTCACAATGTAAGGTGGGTGAGAAAATTTAGCTGATTTGCCTATGACAAAAAACATCTCTTTTCTTCTGATAAGTAAAACAGAATTTGTTCCTCCAAAATTTCAGGTCTTTTCACTATTTCATGCTTCCTTTCTCTATAAATTCTATGGCTTTACCGAGGTCTGTATTCTTAATGGCAAGTAAAAAACAAAACCAAACAAAACATAAAGATATGTTTTGAGAACATATAAGGTTCATTTCATTGTTTTAATTTCACAGAAATTTTTAGACAGAAAAAAAGCACTTTATACACAATAGTGGACTAAAAATTTAGATTAAGATGCTTGCTCTTCAAACTGCCTTTGCTGCTAGGAATTACAGTATTTCTAATTAATGCAGGTTTTTCAATAACAAAATATTCCTGACCTTTTTCTGGTTATAAAGATAATGATCTTTTACAATGTCTAATAAAATTTTCCTTTATTCCTCCTACTCTTACTAGTTCATCAAGATCATACACAGCCTATTGAGGAATTTGAACAAATCAGATTAAGTTAAAAATTAACTGACCCCTGAATGTTGACAGTACCTCAATTTTTTTCATCTAGTGAACTCTCTTTACTTATCAAATAGAAGAGCAGAGATTTTTAAACGCTACCCAAAACTAACTCACTCACCTCACAGCAGCTGTGCCCCAGCCTCTCCATCATTTTGGTCCCTTCCTTCCAACTCACAACCTGTGATGCCTCTCTTGTTTTGCTTCCCCTCTCACAAGCCATCACTCTTGTTTCTCTTCGTAACTTTATGACCTCTTCTTTCCTTTATTTATCTTAAAAAAGGCAAATATACGAGTATATAATCAATTTTAGCTTCTCTCTATCTCCTGACTCTGTACAAATGAGGCCAGGAACCAAGTGATATAAACATAGGCTGCTCTTTAGAAGAGAGGCTTGTGCACACACACTCCCCTTTACGATACATCATAAAACAAAGCATCTGTGGCCAAAGCATCAAGTATTTCTTTTCTGCCAGGAATTATAGAATTCATTATTGGTATAATTTACTCTTGTAACAAGATTTAAAGAACTTTAATGTTGATGAGAATAAAATCACGTATTCCAAACGATATGTGTCAATTTGATATGATTTCTTAAATGTACGTATTTAACATTAGAATATACTGTTAGGAGATTTGAAAGACTTCATTTTATTGTACAATAATGTGTAACTTAAATACCCATAAAGATTTAAAATCATGAATTTTCTAAAACCAAAATTATAAGTGATCTTGAGTAACACTTTCCCTTTCTCATTAGCTAAGAAATCTTCAAAACAAACTTTTCGTAAAAGAAACTTCATTGCAAGAGATGAAGAGTCAGCTAGAAAGTTACAAAGAAAATAACATGCAACAGTCATTCCAGATAAAATCCTTGAAAGATGATATCACGAACCTAGAGGAACTTATCTCTTCTCTAACCAGAATTAAATCTTTGAAAAGTACCAATATTCAGAGTCTTGAAAGAGGCAACTGGGATCTAACTGAAAGAATTATAGAACTAGAAAACCGTCTAAGGTAGGGAATTTTCTGGTTTGTTTTCAAACATGTCGTTTGTCACAAGCTTGCAAACAGTATATGAACTTCATATTCCGGATTGATCACAGGATTTAAATCTAGTAGAATTTCACATAATACCTGACTCAAAATTATTATATTAAAAAAAATTTAATGAGATATAATTCACATACTAATAAAATTCACCCTTTTAAAGTGTACAATTCAGTAGTTTTTAATATATTCACAAGGTTGTGCAGTCATCACCACTATCTAATTCCAGAACATTTTTATCACCCTCTAAAGAAACCCCATGCCCATTAGCAGTTACTCCTATTCCACCCTCTCCAGCCTCTGACCAATCTACTTTTTTCTCTATGGACTTGCTTTTTCTGGACATTTCATATGCATGCAGTTATACAATACATGTCCTCCGTATCTGGTTTCTTTGACTTAGCACAGTGTTTTCAAGATGCATTTATGTTGTAGCATGAATTGAAACTTTCTTCTTTTTTATGGTTTAATAATATTCCATTGTATGGATATATCACATTTTGTTTACCCATTCATCAGTTGATGGACATTGGACATTGGGTTGCTTCCTTTTTGGGGGAAGGTGTGCTTTATGAATAATGCTGCTACAAACATTTTTTGTATGACTTTTTATATGTCTGCATGTTTCATTTCCGGTAAATGCCTTAGAGAATTGCTGAGTCATAACGTAACTATGTTTAACCTTTTGAGGTTACTTTTGATGAACTGCCAGGTTGTTTCCCAAGGCAGGTGCACCACGTTACATTCCCACCAGCAATGGATTCCAGTTTCTCCACATTCTCACCAATATATGTTATTGCTCATCTTTTTCATTATAGCCATTCTAGTGGATATGAAGTCATATCTCATTGTGATTTTAATTTGCTAAACATGTTGAGCATCTTTTCATGTACTTATTGGCCATTGTATATTTTCTTTGTAGAAATAGATATTCAGATCCTTTGCCCATTTTTAAATTGGGTTACTTGTCTTTTTATTGTTGAGTTTATATATTCTGAATACTAGACCTTATCAGATATATGATTTGCAAATATTTTCTCCAATCTGTGAGTCGTATTTTCACTTTCTTAATGGTATCCTTTGAAGCACAAAATTTTTCAATTTTGATGAAGTTTATTACTTTTTTTGGTCACCTGTGTCTTTGGTGTCATACCTAAGAAACCACTGTCTAATCCAGGGTTGCTAAGATTTACATGTATGTTTTCCTTTAAGAGTTATAGTTTTAGCACTTAAATTTATGTCTTTGATCCATTTTGACTAATTTTTGGGATCCAAATTCATTCTTTTTCATAAGGAGATCCACTAGTTGTCTCAGCACCGCTTGTTTTTTGTTTTTTTCAATGTTCTATGTGTTTTATTATTATTATTATTAGTTTCAGGTGTACAAAACAATGCAATAGTTATGCTTTTCACCCCTCACAAAGTGACAATCCCCCTCCACCAATCCACCGTACCCCCACCCTCGATATCATACATATCTATTACAATTCCATTGATTCCACTCTTAAAAAGACTATTCTTTCTCCCATTTGGTTGTCTTAAGAATTTTGCAAAAAAAATCAATTAACCATAAATATATGGGTTCATTTTAGGATTCTCAATTCTATTCTATTGGTCTATATGTCTATCCTTATGCCAGTACCATACTGTTTTTATTACTGTAGCTTTGTAGTAAGTTTTGAACTGTGAGTCCTCCAACTTTTTCTTCTTTTTCAATATTGATTTTACTATTCTGGGTCTCTTGCTTTTCCATATGAATTTTAAGACTAGATTGTCAATTTCTGTACAAAAAGTCAACTGGGATTTTGATAGGGATTTGTTGAATTTATATATCAATTTGGGGAGCATTGTCATCTTAATATTAATTCTTCCAGTCCCTGAACCTTGGGCATCTTTCTATTATTTAGGTCCTCTTTAATTTCAACAATATTTTGTAGTTTTCAGTATACATGTCTTATATGTCTTTTGTTAAATTTATTTATATGTATTTTTCTTTTTATGCATTGGAAATGAAACTGTTTCCTTAATTTCATTTCAAATTGTTCAATTTTAGGGAATAGAAATAATTGATTTTTGTATATTGATCTTAGGCCCTGCAAACTTGATGTATTTGTTTATTAGCTCTAGTAGCTTTCTTGTGGATTCCTTAGGATTTTCTCTATACAAGACCATGTCATCTGTAAAGAGATTTACTTCTTTCTTTCTAATCTAACTTCTTTTAATTTATTTTTCTTGCCTAATTGCCTTGGCTCAACGCTCCAGTACAATATTGAATGGAAGTGGTGAAAAACAGACATCCTGGTTTTGTTCTTGATCTCAGGGGGAAAGCTTTCAGTCTTTCACCATTAAGCAAGGTGTTAGCTATGGGTCTTTCATAGATGCCCTTTCTTAGATGCCTCAGGTTGAGGAAATTCCCTTCTATTTCTAGGTCATTGAGTGTTTTTATCATGAAAGTATGTTAGTTTTTTGTCAAATGCTTTTTCTGCATCTATTGGGATGATTGTGTGGTTTCATCCTTTATACAATTTGCTATTCTTAGACTTGTGGTTACTTAGTATACAGAGAAAGGAGATAGTTGATCATGTGCCCTTGGTTGATAAGAGAAGAAACAAAATCATTAATTTTCCCCCATAATATTAATAATATTTAAGAAACTCACACAATATGAAAAGTGATTGTATTCAGATATGAATACTGGTGTAGACTATATCTATTCTATATTGATTAGTATGTATCAGCTCAACTGATAGGTTGAAGTTTCTTTTGGGTCTTGAATTTCCCAGATTACTTTAAATATATATATATGAGCTGAAACTAAGTAAAGAAATAAACCTCTACTCAGACTACGAAATTAGTTAAAATCTAAGGCCAGGAAGAACGTGAGTGGGATTTCTTTTTTTCTGGTTGTACAGTATCTGAAAAAAGACTGACAAAGTTGAAATGAAGAAGTGATTAAAGGCAATTCATCATCCAAGTAAATATCTTCTTAGTGATAAGGTACCACCTGAAGTTGGTCTGTAGTTTGACCCCTAAACAGCCTACTAAGCACTGCAAACTCTTCAATACAATTTTGAATACAACCACAGATTAAGTCACTTTGTACTTTTTGTTTTGTTTTTGGTGCCAACAGAAAGGTGGCTATATGTATATACCATACATCTCCCTCATCCCCATCATTCTATGAGTGTTGAAGAGGGAAAGGACTAGAAGCAGCTCCTATGGAGTGAACTCTGGACAAAGGATTGTTCTTAGGCCATATCTGATTCCCAGACCTTTTAGCTGTTTACTCTTTGCAGTTAGTGCAGTTAAGGCTGAATTCATTTTTGCTTTTGTTCTATCGGTTAATGAAATGGGTGTGCTAATTTATAATTATTTATAATCATAAATTATACTTTATTATATTAACTATATTAATTAATTATGATTGCAGATTTGTATCTCTCACTTTTAATTCTGTCAACTTTTGCCTTATATATTTTGAAACTATTTGCATTCTAATTATGATTTTTATATTTTTCTGTTGATTTTTCACATTTATTATTATGAAATGTCCTTCTATATCGTTTATATGCTTCTTGCTTTAAAGCCTACTTTGGTATTAAGTTAGCTACATCATTATACTGATCTCATGGAATATCTTTTTCCATTTTTTCATTTGCATGTTTTTGTGTCCTTATATTTAAAGCATATATCTTTCAAAATGCTTAGCATTAGTTGTTTTATTTTTAACCCAGTCTGATCCTCTTGTCTTACTTGTTAGATTTAAATCTACTATATTGTTGTTTATTGTTTGTTTTCCCCATTTGTTCTCTGTTCTTTTATTACTCCACCATTTTCTTTTGGATTAATCCAGTTTTTTATTATTTCATTTTTTTCCTCTCTTATCTTTTAAATTATCATTTACTTTTTACCCTAGAGCTTGTGATTATAAAATACGTATTTATTACAGTCTACTTTAGATTTATACCTTTATGATATCCCAAAATAAAAAACCTTTTGACAGTTTAACTCCATTTAGCCATCTAATGCTCTTTACTATTGTTATAGTATATTTTACCTTTTCAAATGTTATGAATTCCATAAGATATTATTATTGTTTTTATTAACTGTCAATATAAATTTCTAGTTACTCACACACTCTTTCTGGTGTATTTCTTTCCTTCCTATAGTTATATGCAGTCATCAGGGACCTTTTTCATTCATCCTGAGAAATTGCCTGTAGTGTTTCTTATACTGCAGTTCTTCTGAAAATTTTTCCATTTTTTTCCATGTGAAACTATGTTTATGTCATCTTTATTTTTTGAAGGGTATTTTTTACTGTGTATAGAATTCTGGGATGTCAGTATATTTTCTTTCAGCACTCTAAGATGTCATTCAGTTATCTTCTGACTTCTATAGTTTCTGTTGAAAACTCAGTCATCAATCTTATTGTTGTAACTTTAAAGGTAATGTGTGCTTTTTTTCCCTGACTGCTTTTAATTGGTAGCAATTTGACTATGATGTGTCTTGGTGTGGCTTTTTTGGTATCTGTCCTGCTTAGGAATTCCAGAACTTACTGAATCTAATTGACATCTTTCCTCAGGTTTGAAAAATTCTTGGGAATGATTTTTTTCAAATATTGTTTCTGTCTGATTCTGTCTCTACTCTCTACTCTCATTCTAGGGCTACAATTACAGGTATGTTAGGCTTGTCAAGTGTGTCCTTTCATGTCTCTAATATAATTTTTTGAATTAAAATTTTTTTCTTTAGATAATACAGATCATTTCTTTTGACCTAACTCAAATTCATTAATTCTGTAGGATGCAATTCTTAGAAGAGGATATAAAAATCATGGACGATGAACTGAAACTTTAACCTAGGTACAGGGTAGAAAATACCTAGCAATTGGTAATCAAAACAAGAACCAAATAATTAGCTGTTTGTATATTTGATAATAAATCTAGTTTTTACATATACTGTTCTCTATTGCTGTATCATTATTTTTAGTTCCTTTTCCCCTCCTCAAATCCCAGTAAAAGAGCCCATTCAAGTGTTATTAAAATAGGAGTCCTTGTATTCATGTGGAACCTCCTGAGCATCACACTATTACCAGTAGTGGCAGGCCAATATTAATACTCAAATTTCCCTTTGAAAAGATGGTTTCAAAATTGACCTCCCCCAAGGTAACTACTATAAGACTTAACACTGGATTGTTTTTTTCTCTATTTTTTTGCCATTTCTAGTTTCTCCTTAGAAATAGTAGGATAATTGCACAGCTCTTTTCATAAGAAATACATTTTTACTTGATATACATATTTAATATAATTTAAATGGGGAATATTTTCATTGAAGTTTGAAAAACTGAGTTGGTTTCACGATATTGTTACCTATTGATACCTTACACAGAGTACATCTGGTTGAAAGAGAAAAGGCAGAGCGAAAAGCACAACTTTTGGAGAAAAAGTTAGCAGGTGCTAATGGATTCACTCCTTATATGAATATGAAAGGACAAGAAGATACCTTGCATAGTTACATGATAAGGGTAAGAATAAACTTTTATTGATTTTTAAAGAAACAGGGTTTTTATTACCTTGTGTTACTGCAGAAGGAGATAATTGGCAAGTATTTGTTAGTCCTCTTCTTGTAGAGGAGCAAAGGCAGCAGTAATGCATGGGTCACTGGAAGCCTTTCTGAGGTAAGGAGAGGGAGTGCAAGGAGGACCTGCAGGTTTCTGATTCTGAAGAAAAGGTTAGAGGGAACGGGGCTGAGAGAGAGCTGGGAGAAGAGGTGGTGGTTAGAAAGTAAAATATTAAAATTTTAAATTCCAGCTGCTGACAGAATCTGGGGTTTTGGATCTGGGTGTAAGGGTTGAAGAGAAGTGTAGGTAAAAGTTATTGTAACGGAGGCAAGGAATTTCAAAGCTACATTGGTTGGATCATCTACATTGGACATCGAAATCGAGAATTATGACGTAAATTGGATTTAGAAGGAAGAGATGAACCTGGCCACTAGTTGATAGCAATTCACAGGATTAGTAGAAGATTTTTATAGAAGCATATTGGAGGAGGATGGGAGACAGACAATTGTCAAAGAACTGGTGAAAGTTTATTTTGAAATCTTTAGACTATAAAGATTTTATTTTATAATCTGAATGTAAAACAAGGTCTACCATGATCCAATTCATGTAAAGGGCTCCATTTTTACAAATTCAGAACACTTTCAAAGTCTTTTAAAGTAATTTCCATTTTTCATTGCCTCTCTCAATTCACTGTAACTTTCCATTTTTTTCCCACTTCTCTCACTGATCTCTCCCACGTCTCCGAAAACTCCCAAACCAGAGTCCATGCCGCTCTGAACTTTTCTTCCATTGCCTCTTTTTTCTAGGCTTTTAGTGATGCACACCCATCATTATTTCAACAATTCTGGTTCTCCTTCTATTTCCCAGTTTCACATGACAAAAAGCCTAGAAACTGAACTTGTTTACTCAGCTCCCAGAGCAAGAAGATGGAAAGAAGGTTAGAGTTTATAAAGGTGGAATCGTCCTATAGAAGGTGGGGGAAAAGAGAAATACAAGCATAATATTTATTTTTTTCCTATTTATAATGGAAGTACGATGATGACAGAAGCACAAGGGAAAGGTCAGGGGAAATAAATGTGAGCTATTTCCTGCATACTTTTACATTATCAAAGTTATTAAGTGTATCCCTATAACCATTAATAAGTTTTTATAAAAATATCCATTTCCCTGTCAACGTTTCACTTGTCTTAGCATTCATTGATGATCCTTGCTTGAATCAGTTATTTCATTGCGAGATGCAAAATGCTGATTTTTAAATTTCTGTCATTCCTTCTACATTTATAGATGAAAATTTTTTGTAAAGTGTTTACCTTCATAAGCTGGGGCAATTTCCTATGATCTTGAAATAGTTTCTCCATACCATCATTTCAATACCTTCGTTGTTCTAGTTTGGTCTTTTAAGTATGCCCATCTCTCTTGTGACTCTAGAACTCTTGCTTTCTTTTGAGGGCCTTTTTCCTGAAGTTTTGTATTATGACTGTTTATATTTCAAAAGAAGGGGAGTGGTAACTTTAACACGTGTATTGCATATTTAGGATAAAGGTGAAGCTATCCTGGCTAAGAACGTTGAGAGACATAGCATTTTTCACTCTGAAGGACCAAATGATGGGCAGAAAATTTGGGATAAATATCAACAAGATTTGATCCATAAGGAAAAACAAAAATATGAGTCAGACAGACCTCCGTATTCATTTGGCTGGGAAACTAAAACTGCACAATCCCACCATCAGAAATTCCTCGGTCAGTTGGCTACTCTTCTGAGCAATAATAGCGTTGTCCCCATACCAGCCACGGAAGAAGCCGTGAAAGACAGGATTCAGGAAATAGGTGCAAAGGAGCAATCTTGGAAGTCTGTAAGTGTACTAACAGACAACCTCTTCTTTCAAATTGGTTTCTTTTAACACGTGGTGTTTGATATAGCCAATTTAGTAAACTGTGGCTCTAAATTTAATTTGATTTTATTATTACTGTAATAAAAGGGAAGAGGAGTCCATTATTACAGCACAGATAGTAATGGTGTGAGAGGGAATATAGAGGATTGTTAAGTGCAGTGAGCTTTTGTATGAATCCCAGCTCTGCCATTGCCAGCTGTGTGCTCTTGGGAGTGTATTTATCCACTCTGTGCCTCAGTTTCATTTGTAAAATTTGGTGGGAGGGGGGTGGAGTGAGGGGAAATCTGGGGGGACATTGTTCCTATCTCAGAGTGGTTTTAAGGATTAAATGGGTTAATACATGATAAATGCTTGGTACAGTTCAGTGTAAGCTCAATGAATGCTAGCTTAAAAATAGTGGTCCATCATGACCAAAAAGTTCAATCAGTGCAGTAAAATAAATTGTCAAATCAGTTATTTGTTTGAGTTTACTGGTCAAGTCTATCAAAAGATTGAACCAGCAGGTTTAAGCGGTTATTACTCCTTGTTGTGTTCAAATCATATTAGTAAAATTTCATGACTCTTCACCCAAAAATTCAAATGAAAGATGGGTATTGCTTAAATTCAATGTGTTAGTAAAATGTGCTACACAGTAGTCTGTTTATTGCAAGGTGCCAAAATGTTTTTACACTATTTTCTTAAAATCCACTATACAATTTTATTTTTCAGTACTAACTATAATGCCTTATATTTACATATCAAAACTTTAAGTTTTTTTGAAACCACCATCTATTTAGTAACTTAATATTGCTACAGTGTCAGTAGAGTAGACCCTGCACAATATTGAAATGAAATAGAAATCATGGACCATCAAGAAGTTCTCTCTCTTTTTTTCCCTGCAGAGAACTGAAGGCCTTCAGCAGGAGAGTCAGAGGGACTCTCAGACTAAGGGACTGGAGCGGCTGCAGCACCACCAGGAAGAAGCAGCTACTCAGGAATTATCCCAAACTGGAGAAAAGTGTAGGGAACAAAGACGACCCTTGAAATATCTGGAAGGAAAAATTGCTATCAATGACTTTTTTCAAGGGAGATTAACCTTGAACAGGACTAAAGTAAGAATTTCCTGAAGTGTAAGGCATTTCTTTGACAATGAAAATGATCATATTTATTATATGATCTAATGTTTAAAGCTGTTAATACTATTTATACTTTTCTTAATATTGGAAAAGGGAGGAAATTTTGCTTACAAACCTTTAAACCTCATCGCAGTGTACACTTTAAATTTACACAATGCTATGTCAAATTTATCTCAATAAAGCTGGAAAAATATATATAAAAAAAGGCTCTCCTCACTCCAAATCTCCCATTTCTCATTGTACACATATTTGATATGTATTGTGAGGGCATTTATTAATGTATTTCTTAATGTACTTTAAAAAAGAGCGTAAGAGGAAAAGGCGCTCAAAGGAATGACTCTCTAAAGGTAGAATTTCAGACACTGTGTCAGCTAGATATGATGGGTATCGGGAAGGGGCCACTGGTGATATTTCTCAATAATTACTATATAGTGCATTACCTTCTGCTTCTCTGAATCTATAAGGAAAAGTCAATCCTAAAAGTGGGATGGAAATAGATAGGATGCAATATAATTTATTTTCAGGAGATTTTTATTCTATTTCACTAACTCGTCATAGAATTGCTCATCATATTCATCAGACCTGTGTTATACTATTTCTGTAATTGCTGTAGCCCAAAGTGTAATCTCACTCACTCACCACTCACTCATTTAGTCTCTTATTCCATCCATCCATTCATCCATCCATCCAAGCAATATGTATCGAGCACTCAGTTTAAAAAACTTGCAGCGTTTAATGAAATGGTATCAATAACGTCCTCCACAGCCCAAAGGTGAATCCAGCTTCTACCCCTGCTCTTGAGTATGTGAGTGATGATTCATTTTTATGCAAAAAATTTTAAGGGCTATATTAAATTTTAAAAATATACAAACAACACATGCTTTCCACAACCCTTGAAATCATGTTAAGAGGTTTGAAAAAACAACAACAATCTTCTCCAACCCTCTTTCTGCCTATTTCACCTCAATAACCAATACGTATGTATCTTCTACAAGTATTGCCATAGTTATGGAAATATTCCACAGTGTGTATATGACTTATTTACTTGACCAGTTCCCTACTGATCAATTTTTTTTTCCGTTTTTTTTAATGCCACTACAAATAATGCTGCAATAAATATGTTTATACATATATCTTTCCACACTGGTGTTTTGCCCCCTATAGGATTGAGTTTTAAATGTGGAATTATAGTATCACAGTATATGATTTTGAAAAATTATAATAGCCATTGCCAGAATACTGCCTTCTAAAAGGCAAAAGGGAGTTCACTCTCCAAATAGCAATA